TCAGGGCAGGGGTCAGCTCCAGTTCCAGTCCCAGACACTGCCAGTGGAGGCTGGCGGGCTGGGCGGGCTGCCTCCCCCGCAGCCTCTCTCCTGGTTGCGCTGGAGCTGGCGCCTGCACTGGCGCGTTGCAGGTTTGGGGTCAGTGCCACCTCCGTGTCCTTCTTGCAGCCTCAGAGCGGCCACCTCGTGAGCCGAGTGCCCCTCACTCGCTGCTTTGGTTCCCCTCCTCCTTAGCCTTTGTGGCTGATTTCTGTGGACACTCAGCTCGGGGCCACTCGGGCACTGTCGCTGTCAGACTACCACTCCCCTCTCGCCACTCTCCCACCCAGAGCTCCCTGCACAGGCCTCCCGCTGGGAATGCCGCCGGTCCTCCTGCTCGCTCCAGGGCTGCTCCTGAGCCTGCCCTCCTCCTCCGAGGCAGCCCAGCACTCTACAGTGTGTGTCTCCTCCTTAGGAAGTTGGCTGCATGCGGGTTGGGCTGGGCTGGCTGGCCTGCCATTGCTCCCGGCAGCCCCTCCCCCAGTAGAAAACATGAGCTTAGAGCAGCGAGGCCTAGCAACAGGTGAACGAAGGGATAAAAGAACAGATGAAGGGACGATTGAACACCGAAGAGGATGAGTTTTGGAATTAGACTGCCTGGCTTTGTACTCTTACCAGCCTGACCCTTGGGCAAATTACTTGACTCTCTGGGCCTCAGTTTCCTCATCTATAAAATGGGGATGACAATAGTACCTACCTCATAGGGTGGTTATATGGATTGGGTGATCTCAGGACAGCATCTGACACCTGTAAGTGCATAACAGATGAGCATCAAATGGGCTTTGGGGACATGACCTGTCCAAATCCCAACTCTGATGTCCCACCTGACCCCACTCCCAGCTTCTGTGGTCTTCTGCATCCCAGGAAATGGCACCTCCCACCGTCCATGACACTGGAGTCGTCCCCGGTGCCTTTCTTTCCTCCACATCCACATCTGATCCTCTCACAAATCCCGGCGGCGGCTCTGCTTGACATACACCCTCAGTCGGCCGGCGGCTCTGCTTGACATACACCCTCAGTCGGCCATCTGCGTCTCCTCCGCCGTCTCTGACCGGACCACCCCCATCTCCGCTCTGGACTCCATCAGCAAATGACAGTTCTCCCGGCACCCCGCTGGCCCCTTCAGTCTATTCTCCACTCGGAAACCAGAATTTAAAAACACAAGTCAACCCTGGGCTCGCTTCCGCCTTCTACCCTCTGCTGGCTTCAGATACACTTAGAAACAGGCTGTCCGGCACGCCCTGCCTCAGGGCCTTTGCACCTGCTGCCCTGCCCTGGGCCTCTGCTCCCAGCTGTGCACAAGGCTCACTCCTCGCCTCACCCAAGCCTCGGCTGCAGTGTCAGCGCCTCACCTCTCTGAACCCCTGGCCAAATCCCAATGCTTTGTCCCCTGGTCTAGCCCTCACCCTGTTCTGGCTTCCTCTGTGACTGGCCTTGCTCCCTGGCTCATAGCAACGGCTGGTTTCTTTGCTCTTGTCTCCCTCTTCCCTAGAATGTGAGCTCTGCTTTGCTGTCCCCTGTCCCCCGGTGCACAGAAGAGTGCCTGGCAAGGGCATGTGCCCATAAATACTGACTGGACGGATGCATGAATGAATGCTAACTGCTGCTATCACTATTCCTCAGGAAAAGCTAGAGAAAGATAGAGGAAACAGTTAATCTAATTGTGTCTAATAAGGAAAAACAACAACAACAAACTGTGGCCCGACCCTGCCTGTCGCCTGCCAAAGACCAAAGACCAGTGGGCTTTCTGTCCTCAGGGCTCCGTCTTCCTGCTGCCATGGTTACCAGGCTCTGCGAGCTCCAGAAGAAAGGCGAGGCCAGACTGGCCCCGCTGCTCTGCCCAGCTTCCCCGGGTGGCTCAGGGTGTGGGGGAGAAAGATCACATTCCAAACAGGTGGCCGCCCCCATCTCATCTTTTCTCCATTGTGCCCAGGTGGAAGGAGAGGAGGGGCCTGATGTCCTTTAAAAACGGTCCATACTCACTCTGCACTTGCAGAGGACCAGGCCAGGCTCGGGTGACCCAAGGATGAGCAAACCCTGGTCCCTACGCTCGGGGAGGTTTCCAGCAGCTGGGAGGGGCCGGAGACAAGCACGATTTAGCTGTGTATAAAAATAGTGAGTGGCTGCCCGTGGCAGGGGGAAGGCGGGTGGTGGAGGGAAGAGCCCTCTCATCTGCACCTGCTCCCGGCCTCGTGGGCCACTCGCCCTGTGCGTGCCGCCTGGCCGGGGCCCCCACCGCAGCAGCCAGCGCCGCCCGACTCCAGCACCAGGGCCCGACCCGGGGCCAGGGGAAGCCAGCAGGCTGCGTGTGTGCGTGACGCCCCCACAGCTGGTGAGGGCAGGGCTTCGAGAAGGGTGTCTGGCTCCCCCCGGCGCAGGGACTTGGCAACGGTGTCCTGGGATCATCTCTCTCACCTCTTTGCTCCTTCAGCTGATGCCCCCACCCTGCTCCCCACCACCTAGAACAGACTCCCGAGCTCTGGAGAGCCTGTCAGCTGTCCTGTGCGCCCATGACAGCCATCGCCCCGTCCCCTCTGTTATCACCAGTTACAGGATAAATTGTGCCCCCCAAAAAGACAGGTTGAAGTCCTAACCTTCGAACCTCAGCATGGAGTCCCTGGTGTGGTCTTTACAGAGGCAGCAGGTCGAGGTCTGTCACTAGGCTGGGCCTTTGTCCATGAGACTGGGGTCCCTTAAAAAGGGCAATGTGAACACAGAGATGGGCACTCGGGGGGAGGATGACATGAGGACACAGAAGGGACACAGCCCCTGAAGTTGGAGGACAGGAAGATGGGACAACACGCCCAGGATGGCCTGAGGCTGCCAGAAGCCAGAGAAAGGCCCAGAACGGCCCTTCCTGGCACCTTCAGAGGGGGCGTGGCCCTGCCACGCTTTGGACTTCTGGCCTCCCAAGCTCTGAGGCAGTCCAGCAAAAGAATACAGCCACCATCAGCGTCACTGTCACCACCACCCTTACCAACACCTGTCCTCATCCTCGCCCGCACTGCGTCCGTTTGCTACGGCTGAGTAACGAACTGCCGCGCACTCCTGGCTTCACACAGCACACCTCACTCTCTACGGTCCTGGACGCCAGACGTCTGGAACCGAGGTGTCAGCAGGTCACGTGCCTCCCAAGTCTCTGGGGAGGGTCCTTCCTTGCCTCTTCCAGTTCCCAGTGGCTCTAAGTGTTCCTCGGCTTGCGGCTGCATCACTCCAATCTCTGCCTCAGTCTGCACGTGGCCTTCTCCTTTCTGTCTCTTCTAAAGACACTTGTGAGGGCATTCAGGTTTCTGCCCCCAGGTAATGCAGGGTGATCTGCTCTCAACCCTTAATTATAGCTAGGAGACCCCTTTTTCCAAATAAGGTCACATTCACAGGTGCCAAAGATTGGGACATGGACATATCCTCAGGGGGGCCCACCATTCAACCCGCTGCACCAACCAGCATCGCCGCTGCTGCCAGCACCGGTTAAGTTCCAGCACACACAGGTGCTGCCCAGGTGCTTTACCTGTAGCGCGGCCTTCATTCCTGAAGACAAACGCAGGGCAGGTGCTACTGCCATCCCCATTTGACGCGTAAGGGGACCCGGCGCCAGAAGAATTTGCTTGTCCAAGGTTTCACTTGGAAGGAAGGACTTGAACCCAGGCAGGCTGACGTCAGAGCCCCCTGCCTGGCTGGGCGCGGTGGCTCACACCTGTAATGCTAGCACTCTGGGAGGCCGAGGTGGGCAGATTGCTTGAGGTCAGGAGTTCGAAACCAGCCTGAGCCAGAGCGAGACCCCGTCTCTACTATAAATAAAAAGAAATTAATTGCCAACTAACATATATAGAAAAAATTAGCCGGGCATGGTGGCGCATGACTGTAGTCCCAGCTACTCGGGAGGCTGAGGCAGCAGGATTGCTTGAGCCCAGGAGTTTGAGGTTGCTGTGAGCTAGGCTGATGGCACGGCACTCACTCTAGCCTGGGCAACAAAGCAAGACTCTGTCACACACACACAACAAAGAGCCCCCTGCCTAACCATGGTTGTCCTGTCCCAGCCCCTGAACTTCTGGTCATACAGATAATTCCACAGAAGAAACAGAGGGCATGAGCCACTGAAGGGGAGGCGTGGCGGCTGGGTTCTCATCCAGGCCCTGCCACTCAGCATGGTGCATCTCAGGCATGTCTCTTTCCCTCTCTGGGCCTCAGTTTGCCCAACTGTAAAATAGGAAAGTGGGGAGTGGTTGGTCGGGATAACCTCCAAGGTCCTCCCAGCTCTGGAGGTCTGTGACCCCTGGGTGTCAACTGTCATCTCTCAGTCATAGTCAAACCCTGCCCAGAGGCACAACTCTCCCCTCAGCTAACCCCCCTAAACCTGCTACCTGCTGCCAGAGAGTTTTGTTCGGAAGGTCAGCCTGCAGGGGAGGACTGGTGCCTGCAGGGGAGGACTAGTGCCTGCAGGGGAGGACTGGTGCCTGCAGGGGAGGACCGGTGCCCGCAGAGAGGGAAGAGAGGTTGGCACACCATGGCTGGCAACCAGGAGCTGGGATGCTCTTTGTCTTACTCTATGAAGGACTGTGGGGGAGGGGCAGGGGACACTCTCTTTTTGGAACCAGTGCCTTTTCGGTTCATGCATTCAGGGAGGGCTCTGCAGCTGAGGGCTTGGGTGCTGGTACGGGGGCAACAGAGGGGAAGATAACTTTATCTTGTTGGGAAGCCCCAATCCCTGCTAGGCTGTAGCCAGGAACTGGCCTGGGTGCTAGACTGCAGAGTGTCTGGAGAGCGAAAGGCCTCATCCATCCTCTATGGAGGATCACCTAAGACCAAGAGATGGGAGAAGGTGTCAGTGACAAATCCTAAACCTCATGCCCCTGGCAGAGGAAAATAAAAACCATAAAACAGGCTGAGGGGGTCTCTGAAAGTTGTTTCCAAAACCTGGGCTTTTTATTAGGAATTGTCCGTAAGCGTAAACATTTTTTTAAAAAAAAAATCCATTTTATAGTGCAAGCTCCAGAGGCCTTTTTCCTCTGGCTTTTCCTTTGGCTTCCCAGTCCAGAGCAGCAACTGTTTGCATTTGAGCTAATAATGTCCAAGAGCCAGGAGCTGAGTTAGGGACAGAATTGCAAACTTTAATTAGCATGGTGAGATTAACATCCCAGCCGGGGCTGGAGGGTGGGGCCCATCTGATCCCTGTGGACACTTCCCCACAAACCCCTCAGTGGAGGGCTCCGGTGGGGTGAGCAGGAGCCTGGCCAGCCAGGGCTTAGACCTGCCGAGTTAATCTCCTTTTGCCAGCCCCCAGCTGAGCCTCGCCCGCTTCCAAGGCCCCGAGTCCAACTAGCCTCCGCTGGTTTTGTCCCTGCAGGTGTTTGAGCAGAAGAAAAGCTGGCTGTGTGACCTCGGGGCAGTTGCTCACCCTCTCAGGATGTGGGAGTCTAAGTGGGGAGGTTTGGGGCGGTCGGAGGACGCTGGAAGCCAGGCCCGGGCGCGGGTGGAGCAATGAGCGCGGCCTCCCTGCGGAGGGAGGTCACACGTGCGCCCAGGCTTGGCTTGGGCAGGGCCGCGAATTTTCTGGTCTTTATCTGGTTTAAAGTGCTTCCAACGACGGCGGGGCTGCTCCGCCACAGTCCCCAGGAAGCTGGTCCATGTAGCACGGAGCCTTCCCGAGAATGAAGTCATCTGTTCCTCTTTTATTTTTTGTTGCCTCTCCCCTTCAGCACGAGCCAGCGGGCCCCGCGGTCCGTCCCCGCGCACACACGCCGCGCAGGCCGGCCGGGCGACAGGCAGGGCCCGGGCGCGGCGCCCCCACACGCCCGGCCCGGCCCGCCCGCCCCGCCCGAAGGGGCGCTCCCGGGGCCGCCCGCGCTCCGCTCGGCAGACAATAACAGTAAATAACGCTCCCTTGTCAACGTAATAAAAACGGAAACGGTTACAATGTTTTTTAATAAGCGTCCCCCATCAATCTCCCTCCCTCCCTCCCTCCGCCCGGACCGCGGGCACCGGGGAGGAGGGCCAGGGTGGGGGCACCGGGGCGCGCGAGGGGGCGGCCGCCGGGGGAAGAGGGGCCAGCACGGCGAGCGAGAGACGAGGGGGCGCGAGCGGCCGGGGTCACGCGCGCCAGCCGAGCCGGGAAGCGGCCGCGGTGAGTAACACCGTTGCCATGGCGACGTGGCCGCGAGGAACAGGAAGCGGCAGAAATAGCAGCCGCCGCGGCCTGCGCCGCCCGGCCCCTCCCCCCGCGAGCCCGTTGCCACGGAGACCGGGCTCGAGCGAGGCTGCGCGGGCGGCCTCGGCCTCCTGCGCCCCGGCCCGCGCATGCGCAGAGCGGCCCGGCCCGCGCGGGCGTCGCGGGGCGCCCCGCCGCCGCCCCCGGGGCCACGCGGACCCCCAGATCTGCCCCGGCCGCTCGCCTGGGGCGGGGAAGGCGGGGGGAGCAAGAGTGTTCATTGTTTGTCTTTGGAAAGCGGCCGCGCTTTTGTGCCGGGTGGCTCCGTTGGTGTCCAGGCGCGGAAGGCGGGGCGCAGGGGGGAGCAGGGACACCGGCCCCGCGGTCCCAAGCGTTTCCGAGCGACAGACCCTGGGCTGAGCCCGGGGACGCCGAGGGGACGCGGGCGACCAGCCCTGCCCTACCGAGCCCCGTCCTGGGGCGGCCCTCCCTGAGCCCGGGCTCCCCGCGGGGTGGGGGTGCCTCTCCGGGTCGCCCCGGGGCCCCTCCTGTTTCCTGGCCCTTTCTCCACACGCCCCTTTCCCCAGATTTAACCAGCAAGGAGCACAGAGGGAGAAAACAGATCATGTCAAACCCCAGGCTCCCTCTTCATCAGAAAACCCTGAAACAGTCCACACCTCCCCCACCAAAGTTGAGCGAAACCTAGATGTTTCATAAACAAAATCCGCCCTCCAACAACTTGTTTATGTGGAAGCTGGCTGCAGCCCGCACGTCTGAAGCAGGGTGTGTGTGTGGGGGGGCACGCGATCATCTCTGAGGCTGTTTGTGGAGAATTTTTTTCTTTCCAGGTTTTGTTTGGCCTGTTTTTAATAAGGGTCAGAGGTCTGGGCTTCTGTGGGGAAGGGGCAAGGGTCACCTCGGATGGCCGGGCCAGGAGGTCCCCGTGGGGGCGGGGGAACGGGTTACTGCTGCCGCTGCCGCTGAGGCCAGGAGCCAGAGCCGCCCCATCTGGCTGTGCTCCTGCAGCCCCGAGCAGGAGTCCACCGACAGGCTCCCCCCGGCTGCTCCTGGGGTGTGGCCCCAGAGAGTGCCCAGGCCAGGGACTAGGGGATCTCTCTCCCCTGGGCAGGACAGCTGTCATTCCCGTGGCCCCTGCCTTGGCTACACTGGCCAAGAGAGGAGGCAAGCAGAGTGGCCCAGGTCTCTGGGGCTTTCTACAGTGGAAAGGAGAGGCTTTTGTTTTTTTGCAGAGGGCGGACTTAAACTTTCAGCGTTCAGGCTGACCAGATGGGAATGTAGGGAGCATGTGGGGTGGGGGGAGGACCGGCTGGTTCAAACCTCCCTGCCATCACCACCAGCCAGCCTGGGCCCCCACTGTGGCCTTGTGCAGGCTGCAGGGTCCCAGCCTCGCTCAGCGCTCAGCACAGCGTGCTAAGAACAAGGACATAGGGAGGGGCAGGGGCTGATGTTTTTTTCTTCCCTCCTCACTCCCTGTTTTGAGATGGGAGAGGTGCCCCAGCCCTGAAGGGGAAACTTGTGTCCAGAAGACTTCAGGTCCACTGTGGCCGTCTTGGTGTCACAGTGATCTCTCTCCTTCTTGGAGGAAATGAAGTGGGGGGAAGGGAGCTGGAGCAGTTGCTACAATGGACAGAAGCCCCCACCTTGGTGCAGAGGGCGGTAGCGTGTGCTGAGAACTGGGGCTCAAGGAACAGACAGTCCTGGTTGGTGAATCCCAGCTCTGCCACAGCTGAAGCTTTTGCACCTAGACAAGGGGACAATGCAATCCATGGCCACCTCACAGGTTGTGATGGTTCCTTGAGGTGACACAGAAGAGCTTAAAGCATAATGCCTGGTGAATAGTAGGTGCTAAGAACATGGAAGCTGTTCTTGGGGCCCTGAGGCTCTGGGACTGGCTGTGTCCCTAGGTGGGTTGGTCTTTGGTACCGACCAGAGGGAGAGAGCACTAGGCTGGGGTCAGGAGAAGCAGAGTTGGTCATGGGCTCTGCCACTAATCCACCGTGTAGTCTGAGGCAAGTCACTTATCTTTGGGCCTCAGTCTCCCTATCTGACAAATGGGGTTATTAATTGCAACAACCACTGACTTACTCGGTGCCAAGCACTACGTGGAGGTCTGTACATTTCCTTATCTAATTTGACTCTCAAAACAACCAGGAGAGGTAAATATCATGGTGATCCCAATGTCACAGAGGAGGGGACAGCCCCTCAGAGTGATGCCATCACTTGCTGAGGACCACATAGCTAGAAGGTGGCATGGATCATCTGTCACATGCTGGTATGTCACCGTCATTTCCCCCACCCTTCCTGCTCATCCCCTGCCCTTTTTGGTGGCTCAGGCTACAGCCCTCCTTTTGTATTTGAACCCTCGGGTCCAACCATTCTGGATTCTTCTGGCAGAGACTGGCAGAGACCCAGCTTTCTCGGTGGGAAACATGCTCAGGGTACGTGGGGGCTGAGGAGAGCCAGGTGGGCCCCACACAGTCCGCCCGTTCAGCAGCCGCTTATGACAGCTCTGCCATCCGTCCACCTTGTCTCTCCCTGCCATACACCGAAGGGCTGGGGTCCCTAACACGCCCGGGTGGACGCGTGGCATCCAGATGGTGCAGTGAATCGTGCTGGAAGCCGTAAATCAGGGTTATTGTCCCCTCCCCCGCCCCTCCTCTGTGCTGTCACCTCAGAGGAGCTGGTAGGAGAGGCCCCCCCAGCCCCGCCTGCCCCCCTTGCTTTGTTCCTGCTCGGAAGCCGGGTAGGAGGTGGGCCAGGAGTGGCGCCCACTGCCCATGTTTGGGTCCTGGACCCTTCACCGCCTGGCTGTGTGGCTTTGGCCAAGCACTTAACGCTGCGTGTTATCCTCAGCTTCCTCATCCCTAAAGTAGGGGTGGTCACAGCACCTGCCTGTCCCGGGAAGGTCGGGGCTGCTGTGTTGAGTGCTCCCAGGGGGTCCCCAGGCGTGTTACTTATTGGCTATGACATGCGCTTATTCCTGCGAGGTGTCGCCATGCGTTAGCTCAGTGGAGCCTCAAACAAGCAGGTTATTACCTCTTACAGGTGAGAAAGCTGCAACTCAGAGAAGGGAAGTAAGTTGCCGAAGGCCACACAGCCAATTAGCAGAAGAACTGGGATTGAACCAGGCAGGCCTGTGCAGCTTTAAGGACCTCGTGGTAACCTCAGGTTCCTGGCCCTCCTGCTGCAGCTCCTCTGAGGCTCTCCACCAGCCTCTGCAGTGACAGCGTCCTTAGCCCTGCCCAGAGCCGCTGGGTTAATAGGTCCTTAATAAAGCCTGCTGAGGCGTCTGCAGCCTCCCAGGGCAGGGGCCGGGGTTCCAGGTGCAGCAGATGCGTCCTAATGAAAATGGTGGGTGGGGGGCGGGGGACGATGGGGTGAGCTGCCTGCTCATGTCTCCGTCCGACTCAATCTTCCTGACCTCTGTCCTGAGCCACTGGATGCTTCCTGTGCAGGGGACAGTCACCCATCACTCACTGCATCCATGTGTGCTTTCATCCTTTCGTCCATCCCTCCATCCCTCCCACTCATCCTCCCTCCCTCCCTCTCTTCTATCCATCCACCCACCTACCAATTCCTTCCCTCCCTCCATCTCTCCCTCTCTCCTTCCTTCTTTCCTTCCATCCATCCAGTGTTTATTGATCACCCATCTTGAGCCAAGACTTACGTTAGGTACCTGGGGTTCCTGCCCCCCAAGGGTGTCAAATTCTGGAAAAGATGCTGGACAGCTGACTACAAACACACGGGCACCAGGACAAGAGAGGGCATCAGGGGGCTCTGAGACTGTCTGCAAACCTGCCTCAGCCAAGCTCACTAGGCGACCTCGGGTAAGTCACCCCCCTGCTGGGCCACTCTCTCCAGACCTGTACACAGAAGGGTGTCCTAGTCCATTCCTTAGACTGGGTAATTTATAAACAACAGAAATGTATCATGCACGGTTCTTGAGGCTGGGAAGTCCAAGATCAAGGAGCCATAAGACTGAGTGTCTGGGGAGGGCCTGTTCCTCATAGATGGGGCCTTCTAGCCATGTCCTCACGTGGCAGAAGGGGCGACAGGCTCCCTTGGCCTCCTTCTAAGGGCACTAATCCCCTTTGTGAGGGTGGAGCCCCCATGACTTAATCACCTCCCTAAATCCCCACCTCTTGATACTGTGACATTACAGATTATGTTTTGACGTATGAATTTGGGGGGGACACATTCAGGTCCTCGCAAGGTGGTACACTGTGGTGTCTCCTATTATGGGATCCAGAATTGCAAGTGGGATGAGTGAGCTCCCAGTGAACTACTCTTGCAAGCACCTGTGCCCGCCCTAGTCCCTGGGATCTTTCCTCAGTGCCCTCTAAGTCCCCAGATCAAGGCCCAGGTCCGCTCTGACTGACCCAGGTGTTAAAGAGCACGCTGAGGTGGGGCTGGCCGAGGTGGGGCCAGGGAGAGAGCACTGGACTCGGAGGCAGGAGACGAGTCAGGTCCCAGCTCCGTACCGTGATGTGTGACCCTGGGGAGATGGCATCCCAGGCACTCCATCAGCTCGGATGAAGTGCCCTAGAGACTCGGGAAATATCAGCTGTTGGGGACGGTACTGCTATTATTGCCTTCATGTCCCAGTTGC